TGTGTGTGTGTGTGTGTGTGTGTGTTGTGTGTGTGTGTGTAGGTGTGTGTGTGTGTGTAGGTGTGTGTGTGTGTGTCTGAGAGAGGTTCAAGTGTCAATTACACAGGAAAGTGCAGAAATAGCCCCCACCACCTTCCAAAATGCATGCGCAAAATTTGGCTCATGATCTCTCCCTTCCTTTTCAATCATCAGCCGGTTGGCTTGACAAGTGCATAAACGTACATGTTCACCCACATGCGCACACACACACACACAGTTCTAGATTTGCAAATTTAACATAGGTTTTAGTGGAAGTACATCTCTAGGAGGCTTTGTTTATGTGCTAAGTGCATTGGTGTGTATCTAGAGAGTATTTGTGTACCAGTGCATGTTTTTCTGATTGATTGCTGATACCTGGCCTCTCCCACTCACCTCAGCCTGCAGAGGAGGGCAGCAGGTAATTAGAGCTCAGGGTCTTAATGACATCTATTTATCTGCGGCCTATGATACTGTTCAATTAGCACCACCAACAACGCCCTCTGACACGCACACACACACACTCGTGCTGCGCATGCATGGGTAGGCACACACAGAAACAGAGACACACACAGAAACAGAGACACACACACACACACACACACGAACACAAACGCGTTCATTAGTCAGGAAATTTAAAAAGTCTTTATCAACTTCCTCCTCATCACGCCAACAAATAAACTAAAGTTGATGTTTGGATACAAAGTTAGGTTTCTTAAGTAGGAAGTGGATTTGAGTAACCAATGTAAACACTGCTCTGTTAACCCCAGGCCTTATTCTGTGTCCGTTCTTTTAATCTTACTCAAAAAAAAGACATGTAGATAATTTAATCCTCTGGTGAAAAAGATCAGTATAAGAAGTGGGTGTACATCAAAACTCTAAGATTGACATGTTGGCAATATTTTTTCAGTCTCATAGTGCTCATGAAAAGGCCAGCAAAAATTAAGAGTACAATCTACTCAGTGGCAGGTTGCAAATAAAACATTTATTGGTTTAATAACTTTCACAATCAGTGTGGTCAGTCTCTCTGCTCTAATGCACAAACAGCTCTAACAGAGAGACCTTTTCCCTCGTGGCAGCGGATTTAATGCAAGAATGCATAAAAGAGGCTACATGACCTGACTGTTGTTTGTTTGGGAAAATAGGCTACATTTTATATTACTTGTATTCCTCCCTTCCCTTCCCTTCCCCTGTGTTTGTGAACAACTCCAATACAATTTTGATTTTGTTTTTAAACTTTTATGGGTTTGCACCGCTACGCCAACTTTCCATTAAATGAGTTAAAGTGATTGCTATCCTTTAAATTCAAGCAGAAGTTATGAGCTGTTTCTCAGTGACTTTTTCGTGACTCTGCTCATAAAACATACTAATAAATTATAACTTCATTCTCGAGAATCTGATTTTTATTCAACATCAAAACATATGGTGTAACCACACAGTGGCTGAACCCTTCAGCTGTGGCTTTGAGTCCACTCTGAGATTCTCCTGAAGCCATAAATTTACAGATGTTATACAAACTGTTTACACAGAATGGTCGTTCAGATCTTTATAGAAGAGCTGGCCGAAATAGATAAGCATCCACTGGTTTAGGTTCTGGTGCAATATTGACTCCCTCAAATGTATTTTAGACTCCATCTGCAACCAATATGCTGAGGCATCTTTAAACTCTAGCGGTGTAGCTTCACTTGAAATAATTTGGCAAGGCAGATTGGTGGCTTACACATGAGCTGCTGTATTTCAAAATGCTTTACATCCATTTTAAAAATAACATTCAAGTTAATTCTCTTCTCCCGGAGTATTAAAATATCTCGTTGTCAAGGACTTACCAAGACAGACAGCATATCCCAGTAGTTCGTAACACCGTTTGCCAGCCACTTTCTACAAGCAGGGTCACATTTTTAACAGTGCAAATCTCACTTTGCAACAAAACAGGCATATGCATAGTGACAAAAAAATGAACCCAAAAAAATACTAACCACCTTGAAGTTATGTGACAAAATAGAGAGATACATAGAGAGGGAACTGTAGAGAGA